TCATCAATTCATCCTTATAAGATGGAAGTAGGAATTGACGAAGAGATGTTCTTTGGTGGTGCAACTTTCTCCAGTTATGTTTGCATGATGCAAAGTAGTGAATATGATCGACTCGAAGCTACGAAGTGGAATAACTATTAAAGTTAAGTGTTGTGACTTGAATTAAAGTGTAGTTTTCTATCTGTATTTCATTCAAATCACAAAAACACCCAAAGTATTGACCTTACTGTGATGTAAACAATGTCTCTCCCAAATATGTTATAATTTCCATTAAAATAGTGTTATTATAAATAAATGCGTTGTACTGCTCTGCACTTCAAAAAAAAACTACTTTATGAGCTATTTTCAACTTTACAACCAACATTGAAATGTAAAACCTATTTTGCATGAAAAAATCGCTTCTCTATACATTAATACCAGATGCCTTTCAATGAATTGAAGGCAGTAATCCTATTGAAGGGGTTCCAATGACAAATGCAAAGCACTCAGACTTTGTACACATGGTTTCTGATGCCATCTGAACCCCTTGATTGGATTACTGTCTGTTAATTTACCAGGAGGCGTCCAGTATCCTCAGTGCTGAAAACAAGCCCTGTGCTGTACTGTCCAGCAGCTATAATGTGTTAGCAGTTTCCCAACATCAATAAGATGCAAAAGTGTTCTTATTTATTTAAATTCATTTTGATCAGTAAAAGTCTGCGAACTTTATGTATGACTTGTGGCTTTAACTGAGTTAGGTGCACATCTGCGTGCATGTGCTATAGGAGTCCTGTAGCTCAGTAGTTAGAGCACTTGTCTCGCAAGCGAGAGACCTGGGTTCAATTCCTGGCAGGGCGAACCTTGGGCAAGTTTCCTTACTCCACATGCCTGATAATAATCCCTCAAGAAAAAAAAGTACAATAATAATTTGGTCACTCAATCCACAACTGTTTGTGAGACTGTGCACAATTGGCTGCTGCGTTTTGCCCACAAAATATACAATCAATTCACATTACAGTATATTCTATGATGCACTTTGAGATGTCTAGAAGACGTGAAAAGCATTATATCAAATGCAAGGTTATTATATATTTTATTTATGTGTATGGACTAATACTATTTATCTTTCTCGTGTCTCCTTCCTAACCCACACTGCAGTAGGTAGAGTTCAAGAGTAGTTCTTTCTACCGTGTCTTAACGCTTTCCCCAATTAGCTAAGGGCCCCCTAATGGTTTAAAGAGTTTATTCAGTGAGTAGCTGAACCATACAAACTGGGAGTCTCAGGTTTGATTTCATGGATTATGGTGATTTAATTGATCTAATATGGGTTGGGGGGGGGGGGGGTCGGGGGTGGCAGGACTTGAAGTACCCAACTACCCATTAAGCTAATGGGGGGAGGGAGGGATAAATCAACCACGGTTTCCACTCCAGATAACTTTTCAACAGTGGAAATCAGCCCAAGTTTGGTTCCACTCTGTTCCTGATAACTATGTATTTGTGTGTGAAGAATATCAGGCTGAGCTGCAGTTTCCCCCATCCCCAGGGTTTGAATAGCCAGTTGTCTCTAACTGTTGAGCATCACGTCTGAAAAATGACCACTTGGTGGAATCATTGGGGATCCAAGACCATGGTTCCTTGCTCCAGAAGATGGGAACAAGTCAAAATCCTCTGTTGAGACATGGGAGAAACTTTTTTTTAAAAAAGCTACATGATTGTAGAGGGTATGTTCTGGTCAGCCATGTAACAGGTGATTGCTGCCAAAAGCAAGATCACAATTGTGCTAAGATGGGTGAGCTCCACTGTGACCAGCAGTGAGATACAGACACTCTTTCTGCTTCAGAATCTTACCTTGCCAATTGAGATATGTATCATATCACACCTCAGCCTGGATGCAAGCCATTTAGCCTTTGCAACTCATTTTCAACTTCAGTTTTATAGTGTTTATTTAGTAGTTTTAATGGATTTAGAAAGTTCGCTGAAACTGCAAACCTGCATTTCCAATTGTGACAGTATAACAGTGAAACCATAATTTCTTTCTTCTGTATTTCTCTACTTCAATACTCTAAGGTCCACTAATGGTCTGGAGTTAGATATGATGCACATTGTATCTCCTGAGGTGGGGGATGCTGAACAGCTCACAAAGCAGTTATTGTGCAAACATGAAATACTGTTATACCACTTGCATGAATAGGTTTGTGTTAGTGATGTGAATCGTTGCATACTGCATTCAGACATCTGGGCCAAGGATGATTTCCTAAATCCTTGGTTCCCAGAAAGCCTCAGACAATGCTTTGAGAACTATATTTAATGTTTTAATCGTTTGTCACAGTGGCTAGTGTAAACTCCTGCCTTTACAGCACGTTAGCACAATGCATTTAAATGCTTTAAAAGTTAACCATTTAGGGAGTACAGGGTAGAAATTTCCCAATTAGTGGTAGTTACGACATTCTCATTTGATGTTTGGTGAGCAAAAAAAACACAGGGCGATAGATAGTGTATGCTTTTTACTCCAGTAAACGTCGGTGTTGAATGCTATATCTGCTTTCTCCGCATGTTATTTACCAATCATAACTGAATGAGGCATTCAAGAACCTGAGACTCTTATCTGCTGAGAAAGAGACTACACTCGGCCACTAACATCCATTTTGTTCCTTAGAGCTTACCCAGAGCATCCATTTGTTCCTTGAGCCAGTGAGATCCTTACAGCACTCTGAAATGTCAGTGTTTATTGGAGTATCAGAAGCAAAGTGAAACCATATAACGTTGGATTACATAAACTGTTAAAGTAAAAAAACAGGCCATTCAGCCCAAATTAATTAGAGGAACAGGCAGAAGTGTCACAGACATGATGGGCTGAATGGCCCACTTCTGTGCAGAAAATTTCTATGTGACTACGTTTCTAGCCTGTGCTGATGTTTAAATTTCACATGAGCCTCCTCTCCTGATCTTCTCTCCATTTCCATACCTTCATTGGGAACCCCATTATAACCTTGCAATTGAAATCCACCATGTTGTTGATCAGCATGTGACAGACATAGTGTCTCACAGGAACATCAGTGCACATGTTTTTAATCTCAGTTACACCAGGACAATTTCAGAATTATATTAACATCACATTAGTTAGACTTAGGAATATTTCTTATTCTTGTTGAGAAAATATTTTTTGTAATATCTAACCTGATAGATTATCTGTGCTGCATATCACTAATGACAGGACCTTAGTAAAATAGTGGCATTTAGATGTGTAACTTACCTTTTTTAGTGTTTAACAAAGTGTGTCACAGGTAAGGAAGGCATTGTTACATTGCTTTACATAAGATATTACTTTGTTTGAAAACTGGCTTTCGATGACTGTTATTAATCTTCTTTGCACTTTTTCCCTTTTGAACACTTACTTTTTTCTGAGCTGTCTTTGCATGTATATTACCTATTGTAAAATCATTCTGTTTCTCCTTTAGATTTGTGATGGTGAGTATTGTGATATAGAAGTTGAAGCATGCTTCAGTCCATAGAGCAATTACCTGTTTTCCGCACTATTCTGATTAAAATTCAGAAGTTCTTATGCATATTGAAGTTGATCCTGTCTACTAGACAAAAGTCTACAAATTTCAATGAACTCAGACTTGTTTTTAGGTTTTATGATGTTCAAGAAGAAGTGAGAGCTTTAATTTGCAAGTTGTGTAAATTATGTATAATGCAATCGTACAGAGGGAATTGCAGGAACCCTCAATTATGTAACTAGCAATCGATGAATAGGATTCAAAAATCAGCAGTAATTTCCTCTGGTTCACCAGCATTTATACATGGTGTCCATAGTTCCCCTGGTCCTGGAAGAGGCCCCCTCATTTGAGCTAATTTCCCCCCCCAGCCCACCAGTGTCTAGAACTAAATTAATATATATTTAACCATATACTTAAGACAATCATTATGCTAAGCTTTTATATTACTAAAAGTAGCAAAAACCATTAAAAAGATAGGAGTTTCTTTCTCATTGGGCGTATCAGTGCAAAACTCAATATAATCTAATTGTTTGTGATTGATTCTAAAATATCACTTGCACAGGGCAAAACCAAAAGATTTGTATCGACATGGTCGACCCGAGCTTGTTCTTTATAATAGTGACACGGCCGGTGTGCGCTTCTACAACATTTGTTACTGCGATCAAACACAAAATCAAATACAGAACTAATAAGTACAGAAATCCTGACAGTTGATTGACAAGCCTGAGTGGTTTGATAATCAATCCATTTTGCGAATTAAACATCAATTTCTGTTTCTGCTTTACCATCCCCTTGCTCATGGTCATCGATCGGGGCGTGGTGGCGGCAATATATACAAGGTAATAATATAATAATCCTTGCATTTGATATAGCACTTTTCACGTCTTTGAGACATATATATTAATTAATGAATTAAAAGTTAATTAAAAATGTATATATTAAACGCTCTGGGACGCTGCCCAGTGTGAGGGGCACTATATAAATACAAGCTGTTGTAGCAAAAAATGATGTAAATAAAACAAAAAAATTGTCCCCCTAAAGAGTTTCTCTTCTTTCACCTTCCCCCTCTCCCCCATGATCACCAGTGGTTTACACGACTTGCAAATTAGTCCCCAGGATTGACAATGGTTCTTGTGTAATGTGAACAGATGCCACACAGTGGAGATACATCACTGCACTAACCAAGTGAACAGTGGCTATTACACCACTGACTAAAGCTTGTGCTCCTCTCAAATATTGGCTCCTCTGTTATGGGGATACATTTTCTATAGCATGCACCAACGAAAGCTGATACTGAGGTGAACATACAAAGTTCCCTACCCGACTTAGCGCCCAGCTTTTGCCTTGAGATATATTTTTTACTTAGTCTGATAAACAGCATCAACTCCAATTCTTGTGTTTGCGAGTTGTGAGGCTTCACAGGTCTGTTAGTGGTTATCGTCAATCAGCTCAAACATCTTGCTCTCGTCGGCCTAAAAAAGAACCAGAGATAGTTTACCCACAGCTCTGTTCTGTTTGCAGGAATCTCGGTTGACAGTCCTCTGACCTGCCTGGAGAAATGGAGCAGTGCAGTCAAGTTCCCCTCCACCAGGAGCTCTCCAGAGAGCGGCCCAGACCGCCAAGCTGCCAGCCACCTGACCTCGCACAGGAAGCGGCACTACCTACAGTGTTCTGAGTTGAAAGAAACAACGTGGAACAATTCAGTTCAGCAGCAAACCGAGCCCCCTGTCTCGTCCTCAGACTAGAGGAGCAAGGGCAGGGTTTACAGCCGTCAGAACAAGAGTGTGGCATTCCTCTTTCAGGCTATTTTTTCTTGTGACTTTGAACAATTCTCGGAATGACCTGTTTGGGGCCTATTTTGTTCTCTCCACCCCTCTTACCCTTTGCTGTTTTCCTATTAAGTATATGGACCAATTTCGCAAAGCTCTTTTTGAATCCCTCCCCCCCACTCCCACCCCCCCCCCCACCCCCCTCTCCCCATTGCTGAGGTCACTCTGAATAATTGGATTACAGAGCATACTGTACTGAGAGGATGTGAGGATGGAAGAGCTGTGTTTACTGCTGCCCTGGCTTGTTCAAGGACCTGCTCTCTACCTTGCTCAAGCGCTTGGAACCTCAACTGATGTGCACAAAGCAGAATCTTCTCGTGTGAGCGAACAGAGACAGATGGTTGTTGATTAACTGTCTTCTCAGAATTAGCGACAGACTTTAGGGTCAACATTGAAAGCTTCTTTATCTTTTTATTTCTATTGTACGTTCTCTTTCCCTCACCCACCCCCACCAGCCCTCATTACTCCTGCCTTTAGCCACTTATGCCAAGAGAGGGATTAAATATGTTTTTCAGTGTTACGCACTTTTCTGACCCTTGGTTTTATTTTGACTGGTGTGAGAAGCTGAACGAGGAGGTGTTTTTTTTAAACTGTGGCTGCTAACTTCTATGCCAAGAGGACCTTACAATTGTTCAGTATTGTGGGGTTTTCCCTTCAGACTCTTCTCCTCCTGCCCCCAGTGGCTTCCCCTGGAGAAGCATTGAATTGAAGACGAAAGGTGAAACGTAGCCTGCGATGGGAGGAAGGATTTGTCAGGTGCCATTGATCGACTGAGATGAAATTTCAGCCCCAGTTGGTTGGAGGAAGCTGATCAGACAATCTGCCCGCACACACAGCCCCCTTCCTGGTCAGTGCAGCGGCCTCGACAAACCAACGAAAACATCGGAAAAACAAGGAGAGGGAGAATGAGCCTGTGATTTTTTTTATTTATGAGTTTGCTTTCTCCCGTCTGAGCTGAAGAGAAATGTGCAATTTAATCCTCAGATGCTGGGTGGAGGAAACAGGGTAGGATGTACTTGTCTGCACTACTATAAGTCCCAAGCCAAGAACCTGCGGGCACTGTCCTTGCAGGACAGGGTTCTTAGGTGTCCATTATTTGCATGGTTATTTAAGTTGTGCAATCAACATTTGTTTCAATGTTTTATGTGAGAATTTTCTTTTTGAAAATCAGATAAAATGATGCCATCAATTGTTTTCTTTGTCTAATTGTAGTTAGCATCAGTGTAATATCACCTCTCCAATGTAATTAACAAAACAATAAATTCATGTCTACCATGATCACACACGTTGTGCCTGGCCCTTGGGGAGAGCCTTAACCTGGGAGTGAAATATAGCAATGAGGAGGCCCCCAAAGCCAGTTCTGTTCTCTTGACAGATGCCAACCTGTGCTTATAAAGCATGTGATACCCAGGCCACATATTGGGAGAGTGCGGAGGGGGTAAGGCAGTGGGGAGGGAGGGATAATAGAATGGACACAGCGAGATGCAACCTGAGACCTACTAGGAAATATTGATCTTTCACAAGAGTTTTGTTTCATGAATGTATAATTCAGTTTTTAACCTTTTTTTTAAGTCTAATTGTTACATGTTTTTATCCATCTCTTTTTTAAAGTGCGGATCCATCAGTGGGTTTTATTTCTCTGGGTGTAACTTTTCAGAAATGTTCTATAGCTGGAGAGCGGCGGGGCTGATGTCATCGGATCGGGTGACCAAAAGATGAAAAGGGATTGCAAATCTGAGCTGTGAGACCAGACAATACCCAGGCCCCACTACTGTCTCCCCCCTACTTCGCCCTAGCCCCCTCACACCCATTCTCTTCGTGTTTCTCTGATTCTTGGACTCAGACAGCAAGAAGGTTTCAAGGATGCAGGAGTGGAAAGGTATATCTCCCGATGACAGAACACCATGTATTCTGAATGCAAGGGTGTATGGACTTGCGGAAAGAAAAGTGTTTGTCTGTCTCTGTCTGCTTTTGAGTTGTAATGTGAACCCGGGTTGCAGATCACAGATCGTTGAGTCAGAGATTTGGTGTTGAAATTTGAGTTGATGGTGATGGTGGACAAGGTTTCTTATGCCAAGAGAGGGATTAAATATCAGACTAATTTATTTTCAACCATCTCTCCCCCCCTCCACCCCCTCCAACTTTGTCTTCCATACCTCTCCGCCCTCCATTTTATAAAAAAATATACCACTGGACTCTTTGAGCAATATTGCAGTGCCAGCACCAAGCTACTTTATATTGCTAAGTAGATAAGGCCCATCAAGCAGTGTTTCCTGGAAGCATGGGATTTAAACTGCAATTAAATCAAAGTCCCAGTGTAACTGGAATACTGGTAGGGAGGTTCACTGATGGACTGATTAGCACAGAATGGAGCAGAAAAATCCTCTCAAATTAGTTAGGATGATCAAGTTTTTTTAAAAACATCCACAGGGACTATACTTTGCATCAAAACTGGCAGGAAATTGAGGGGGTTTAAATGTTTTTTTTAAAAAGCCTTGAGTAAATTTTGTGAAAATCAGTAAAAGACCTGCCACTGCTTGACATTTTGTTCCCGTGTTAAAGGAAGACAGAGGACACCACAACATGATTCATACAACTCCAAACAGATCCTCCATCACTCTCACATCACTGCCGACAAAGCCAGCGATTCTGGCACTAAGTAACATACTTGTAGGTCAAGAGCGCCTCCAGAACCATACAATACAAATTTAAATTTATATAGCACTTTTCATATCGAGAGGACGTCCCCAGGTGCATGTAATGTACATACTGAGGACAGGTCATCTGTACACCACCAGAGAGTTCAGAGGTCACTTATGAGAGAACAACTTGCAGCTGATTGTACTACAAGTATATCTCGGAAACAAACGGGTCGTTTTGATTTTCTTCCCAGGAAAAACATTTTATCAACAGACTTTCATCGATTTCCACCCCCCCCCCCGGGTATTTATGGAAATAATTAATAATTGGTAACAAATCTGACTTTTGAAGATCACCTTAGATTATTAAATTAAAGTTTCTAAGATTATTCAAACAAAGGAACAGAAGGGCCAGTTTTTAAACCCATTACTAAGGTGAACAATGCTGACACCCTTTTGAGTTTTGTGGTAGGGAATCCAGTGTCTGATAATAATTTGTATTTGATATTGCGCTTTTGACATCTCAAAACGCTTCACAGAATATATTGTAAAATGGATTGACAATATTTGTGGGCGAAACACGGCAGACAATTGCGCACAGCAGTGTCCCACAAACAGTCGTGGATTGAGTGACCAAATTGTTATTGTATTTTTTTTGAGAGATTATCATCCCCAGATAAGCGATCCACCAATCGACTAATAATCGGGTTCCTACTTACTGCTAGGTAAACAGGTGTGTGGAGTAAGGAAACTTGCTCAACATTTCGCCCTGCCGGGAACAGAACCCAGATCTCTCGCTTACAAGGCGAGTGCTCTAACCACTGAGCTACAGGACTCCACATCTTGCATTTATTTGTAGGTTATTTGCACCAGTGAGTAATAGGCTTACACAACAGGGCAGGTGTGGGGAAAAGAAGATTTAATGACTGAGATCAACGTTCAATAATTTGATTTAATTTTGTAAGAAATGTTTTCAATTCGATTCTCCTGGCCCAATGGATGAAGGCGTCACCCAGTGCAGCACAAACCCATAAGGAGCAGAAGGTCTCAGGTTAAAACTCTTGCCCTGTGCTGAGTTCTCAATGCTGCGAGATGCTATCCTGCATGAAGGGCGCTGTTTAAATGCAAGTTGTTCTTGTTGAGTTGGCTGATCTGAGTCATGGCAACAATTGAGATATATAATTAGATACAGAGTCCCTGGGAACTACATTCAGAGAGGGAAGAATCAGCCAGGGTCCTTGCTGGATGTTGTTGATCCAGGACCATCAGGCGATGACTGGGACAGGATCTGCTGTGATGTGCCTTCCCCCGCCCCCACCCTTCGTAATTCCACAGTTAATGGGGTTGAAAAAGTGGTCAATCAGCATAAAATACACATTACTGGAGCCTCAAGCCAGAAAAAGACCTTAATACGAACTGAGTGAGGTTTATTGAGGGAAATGAACGGATGCCACTCTGACTCAGGAATCTTTTTGCTCAAATCCAAGTTTTCCTTTTAACCATTTAAAAAAATATTTTATTTGTAATTGCGGTTTCTGGAGCTGGCGTGTTGTGATGTGATAAGGGATATTGCAGTGTAAAAATATTTTGGCACAGCACATCATTTTCATCACTGTTGCTTTGTGAGGCACCAGTAACATAGCTGTGTTGCTGTTTGTGCATCTTTTCAAACCCAGTGTCAAGTGAGCGCACCCAGTGAGTGTCCAGAGAGCACCTGTGGAACCCTCCACAGCATTTGAGGGCTATCGGGGGGGAACGAAAATTGCTGAGCAAAAACCTGAAAAAAAAGATTTTTGTTATCATTGATCGGTTGATAAAGTCTAAATTAAGTTTGGAAGATTAGATGTGACTCATGAAACCACCTTTGAAATGACTGTTAGGAACTAAACAAAATAATTCCAAATTCTGAAAAACTAAGGTGCAGAAGTCTGTAAGAGTCCTTGGCTATTCTGCTCTCTGCAAGCTCCCCACATGGATTTCAATGGCTGTTATGGACTGCTGTGTACTGTCTGTATGCGATTAACTAAATTCCTACTAAGAAAGACTTCAGCTGGTAAGGTTCCTCCCAATAAACCCTGATCTGACTCAACCTTTTTTTTAAAAGAAAGTAGATTTCAACAGGAAATAATAAACAGTGCAAGAATGAGTTGATGACAATAATGTTAAGATTCCTCCTGTGTTAATACTCTGCCTAACAGCCTTGGCCTTACAGTCATCAAATGTTAATTGTCCGAGTGTGAGCAATCTTGACTCTAGACCATGAGCGGATTTCCCATTGATGTTGCAGTTCCTTTGTCAGCCTCTCCTTTCAAATGGGTTGCAGGGTGCGTAAATTATGTAAAGTCATAGGTGTGCACTAGTTGTTACATTTTTATGTGTTAGGATTTTGCAGTGTTCTCATATAAGCAGTCAGTGAGTCCGTGCCATTGTGGAGGTCACTGAACCGGTGAAGGAGTGCGAAATGTCACGACAATGGCTCCAGTACTTTC